CGGAGGGCCCCCCCACCCCAGACTGGCGAGGCACCACCGGTCCTACCGCCCGGCGAGCCGGTTGAGCGATAGAACTCGTGTTATTTGCTAAGGGTGCGCGTCCGCACGACGGCGTGGCGTGGCCGGGCGAAGCGGGGCGGTGGGGAGGGGGAGGGTCGGTTGTGGGCAATCAGCTGGGGCGGCGGGGGCGAGGGGGGCGCCAACCGCACTGCCTCGGCCCGCCAGCACGACGAGTAGTGACTGCTGCAAACCAGGAGGCAGGGGGAGGAGAGATCGAGAGAGCGAGCGAGAAAGACAGAGACGCTCCAGAAGCGGCAGGCAGAAAGAGGGAGAGAGAGGGGGGGGGGCATGGAGGGGTGCTCTAATGAGGGTGCAGCAGTAGCAGAGGCCGCCGAGGAAGGAAGTGTTCGGATTTAGCCGCGCTACTGCCGAGGGGGGCCGGAGGGAACTTAGGGCCTCAGGCAGGGTGGCGCAGCGTGGCGCCGGCCTTTGAATCGCTTCGCGTATCGACGTTAGGCAGCCCATTGGCGCCGCGCTGCGCGGCCCGCCGGGGCCCAACCCCCGCTGGAGTCCCGTCCTTGACGGCCCTCGACGCGCCGCACCTGCGGCATCGCTCGGTGCTCAAAAGTGATCGCATGGGGGAAGAAGAACAGGCTTGCTTTCAATAATTTCACCTCCCTTTTCTCTGCGGCATGCACATACATTATCGGAGGGCAGACAGCCTGAAGCAGCCCCGCCCCCATGGCGCAGTTTTCTTACATTTTCCGCCACAGCAACAACAATATTCCGCGAATTCTCTACCCAAAAAATTAATAGATACGAAACGTGGAGGTCTTCTTGCGGCGAAATACGACGCAGAATATGATAGCGCTCAGCGATGTGGCAGCAACGGCAAAGGAAGCATCCGGGGGGCAAGGGGGGGGGGGTCACGTGGGCCGCTGCCGTTGGGGTAGGCTACGGTCAACTCGTCGGCGAGAAACCCTACCCATGCTACGAGTCACCCCAACCTCTTCCCCCCTTAGGGGCCGTTCACAAATTACGTCACGC